GCTACCGCACGGTTTTGTTCCTGCGGACCGGTACTCAGCCGTAGCCAGCGCCTGCCCTCCCCTCAGGGAGTCCGCAAAAGGCCTCACTGAAACTTAAGGTTGGCAATGGATATATAAGGCCCAAAGACCAAGCCCTCACGGGCGATGTGGGATACTACATGGAGTCCACTCCGATTTCTGGGCTAAATTTTGGGGGGAATTTGGCCTTGGTTTAGACCATCTCCAATGGTGACCTAAAACTTAAAAATATTTAGCCCAGAAAATTTAGGTTTTAGCCTAGAAACAGTTTTTCTACTCCAACCATTCTGGCCTAAAATTTTAGCCCCAGATTATCAAAGAATGAATTAAGGCTAATTTTTTTTTAAATTAACTTTTAAAAAAAAAAGTTATGTAGACTATCTTAAATTAATTTTATGAACATTTTAACCTAAAAATATTTAAATTCTGATAAATTTTGAAAAATCATTAAATCAATACATGAAAATCATGATAAACCACATAAACTTAAAAAAAAAAAGAAAAAAAAAAAGAACAATTAATAAACCACATAAACTTAATACAATCGAAAACTCATAGACTACATAAATTTAATAATGATATCCATCAACTTGACTTGGTGATAGTCTTGAGATGAATCATCATCTTGAAATATACTTCTTGTGGCATTCCTTCGTAAAATTTCCTTTTGTTTACCACGTAAGTATTTCTTTCTCTCTAGAGTGTATTTGTCGAGGTCCTCTATTATCAAATTAGTTTTGTACCTTTCTTGCTCCCTATCCCCTTCTTCCTTCATGGCCAAAAACATTTGGGCCGATTCTTCTTGCCGATGGCACTGGTTTTCGTTTATTCTTGCCATTTCGCTAACAAATTGTGCACGTATCGGATCTTGGGACTTCCCTTTTCTCTTTGCTTCCTTTTGCTTATCTCTACCTGGGGGCCTTGGAAAAGAAGAAGTTTGGCTCATTTGGTCGACACCTTCATTGTCAGCAAAATTCACACCTTCGTTGACATCATTTGGGGGTGGGGCTTCATTATGAAATAATCTTCCACATTGTTGGGGGTGGGGCTTCATTATGAAATAATCTTCTACATTGTTGATTCACATCGGTTCCCCACCTCGGACAATCCTTGAGGATGTTCCAAGCATGATGCAACTTAAAAGCTTGATTTTTTGGTGTAGTTCTTGTCTTGTAAATTGCCATTGCTTTGTTACCCTATGCAACAAATACATAAAAACAATTAGTTGCAAAATACTATTATGTACATGACAACTAAAATATCAACAAAGAAACTCACAATTTCTGAGGCGCCCCTTCCACTAGGCATGTCAACCATGGCTCTCTCCAAGTTTCCCTTCCACAAAGTGCACGCTTTGTTGATAATCTTCCACCGATCATAAACACCACCAACTTCCCTTTGACCGGCGTTGGAGTTTTCATGGAACTTATCAACAATTTTACCCCACAAAACCTTTCTATTTTGATTGGTGCCGACGGCACCATCTTCGCTAACAGAAATCCATGCCAAACATAAAGCAATATCTTCGTCAAAGGTCCAATTACGACCTCTAACATGCTCTTTTGCCATCTCAAAAATTTTGGAAATGAGAAGAAATGGTAGAAAGAAAAATTGGAAGAATTGTAGGAGAAAAGTGAGTTTTGTGTGGATGTTTGAACAAATACATAGGTATTTATAGAGTTTTTGGTTGAATTTTAAGTTAAATATTTTTTTTAAAATTATTTTAGCCGTTGGATTTAAATTTGGACGGTTAAATCTTTTTTTTTACTGTTAAATTTGATTTTATTCGATCTAAGCCGTTGGATTCAATAAATATATAAATATAAAACTTAAAAAAAATAATTTGAACCTAGACCGTTGGATTAACCAACGGCCCATTTAAATGGAGCCGTTGGATGAAGAAAAGTAGCCGTTGGGGTACAGTGAAACTGACAGCAGATGGGACAACCCACGTGGGTGGGCTTTATCTGCACTGTTTATGCGTGTGAGGCAGATTGGGTTTTGGGGTTTTGGGGTGTGGGTCCTACTACAATTTGTGAGCTAAATTTGTGACTGGTATTTGGGTTCATTTTAAGTTTTAGGTTTTAGGTTTGGTTTAGCTTTTGGGTTGAAGTGGATTTTGGGGGGGAAAAAAGGGAAAATTTAGATTATAAGCCACCATTGGAGATGGTCTTAGCATTTAGCATTTAGCCCAAATTTTTCCCTTGGGTTGGATTGGCTTTGGGGGGAAATTTTGGGGGGTAATTTGACTTTTAGCCCACCATTGGAGTTGGTCAAGGGTGGCTAACCAAAAACGAGGTATCGAATCTTACACACGTATAATACATTTTCATCATTCATGTAAGTTAAACTTGAGATCTCTTACTTATAAGAGAAATATTATTAAACCGTAATACTAATTGAAATCAAACATAAATTTGCGATATTAAAAACGCAAGATTTCACCTGTAAGGCGTAAAATCAAACATTCTTAGCGTGTTCATTCATATCATGTTACGTTTTAAAGTTTCTTTAATATAATTAAGGGGGCATTGATGTGATATACATTCTAATTCTAATACATGTGTGATTGTGTAAATCCTAAGTAGAAATAGATGAGGAATTCTTCAGGATCTAGAAGAGCTTTCCTATTAAACTTTGTATAACTTGGAAATCTTTCCAAAACAACGGTTCTTATCTCGATATTTTTTAACCCTGATTAAATGAACCTTCATCATAATGCATGACCCAACTTTATATTTTACAAATTTTAGACTCTATATAAATTGTTTATGCATTATACCCATAATATTGCTATTATGTGAATTGATATTGTGAATTGAAAAAAAAAAAATTTGAAAAACCCAAGCGAGCTACGGCTTCAAGCCACTAAGCTGCCAAGCCCCAGCGTGCCAGTCTTAATATGAATATGAATCCTAGCACCATCGTGGACGTAGCCCAGTTTAAGAGTTGAACCACTTATATCTTTGAGTTTAATTTGCTTTACTTTCGTACCAAAAGCTCCACGAGGGCTTATTATTTTAATTTGTTAACATGCATGTTTTGAGCGTTAACTTTTGAATTTTAAATTTTGTAATTTCCATTTATCTCTTTGTTATTTGTTATGTTTTAGAAGAGTGTGGTTTCATCTCAAACTCGCTTTATTTTAATATAGAATGAAAATATACAGAAGGCTATCTCATCTAGCCTAATTACCTTCAAACTGAAGTTTCTATCTTCTACAGGGTGCAAATAGCACTCCAAGGAACAAATGTTATTATAAATACCAAATTCTTTTACCTTATTTTAATTATTCACCAAAGATATTATGTTGTTTTACTTGTTCAAATATGAGTCCATTCTACATCTCATACATTTTTATCAACCAATATATGATGCGTGAATTTGACATGTTAGTATAACGAGCTAATTTGGCGAGACTAATATTATTGAAAAGAAAAGAAAAACAAAAATTGTCGACTCAACCTTTGTGCTAAGCGTAAAGGGACTTATAGCTCTGCATAAAATCTTTCACCGTTCTATCGAAATCTGTGTTCAAACCTCCATCGTTTAATATTACTTGTATAAAAAAAAGTTAAGAATTGTGAAATACTTACACCCTTAACATGGAAATTCTTGTATCCTATTCATTTTATCTTTCATGTTTTGGTATATTCCTCTCTTGGGATGGGCCTTAAAACATAAACAAGCGGGTTAAGGTTACTTGAAACGCATGTACACGGCAGCAAATGGCCTTTAAAAATAAGGTCTAAGGTCAAATCCTAAGTACAAGTCACCAAAATTTACCAGCCGTCGCTCCAGTAACCACACTACCATTTTCTTTAGAATCCGTTCAACTCGTGAATATCCTTTCGATTATCAAATGACCAAAGAACATATATATTCACCCACCTTCGAATTTGATACATAAATAAATAATGAATAAATGCATTTTTAATGTTTTAATCTCAACATTTTAGTGTTTTATTGTGAAATTGTTCATGAATTTTTTGTCATCTTATGTTTTTTGGTACAATGTTTTATAATGTCGACACATAAATTAATATTAAATGTGAGATGACGACAGTTTATAAAGAGTCTCACTTTTGACAAGTCTTCTTAACATTTCTCTTTCTACACATGTGATCAAGAACGAAAAGTCGAACTTTTTAGTCGACTGAGAAATCAAACCTTTTAGTCGACTGAGAAATCAAACTTTCAACCGACTACTTGTGACTTGTCTCCGCCAATTCTTTAATTAAGTGAGTTAGACTTAAACCACTCTCTTAATTCGAATCCAAATTTGCTTTTTCTTCTTTCTACTACCATTTTATTGGAGAGCTCATGTAATGGGTCACGTTGTCTAAGTCGTCGTAATGTACTCGTCGCAAGTGCCTCCCAAAGGCCAATAAGGTAATTTTCATGGTATGGATTTTCCCTGCTTAAAATCAGTTTCACAGAAGTTCTTACTCAATAATTTTTCGACTGCAAGTAATAGATTGTCCTGATGAATATTAACATTTATTTCAACCTACTGTGTTATGAGTTCAAACTCTCACCTTTCTCTAATAAAGCTTAAGTAATAATTTGCTTGTAATAATTCAAAAGAAAACAATCCTCTGATCGTCGGCAAGTTCCTTTTTAACTGTTTTTGTTGAAAATAATCCTCTTTTGAATCACATTCCATTTAGTACTATAATTTAGTAATAAATTTTTTTACTTATAAACAAGAGAATTTATGTTCAATCGTCAAATACAAATTTAAACTACATAATTATTAATATCATTTATTAATCTGCTGTCAATGTTTTGAAGTGTCAATCACTTATTTCTTTTATTTTCCCGCATAATCTGACCTGCCATTTTTTCGCCAGAATAAAGAAAGACCTGGAAATTTCAATTTCCAGATGTTTTTGGACACGTGTAAGCGCATCCTTCCCTTGATTATGCACTCGCTTGCACTACATAACAACACTTATCTTGGACGCAGAAATATCTCCTTTTCCCCTTTCTGAATTCTGACTGAAGATAAAATTTCACAGAGATGAAAAATTAGGGTTAGTTTCTTGCTGAACCATCTGAAAAATTAAATCTTTAGTTCAGGCTCCCGAGGTATATATAAATTAAAGTTCCTGATTCGATCTTTTCGTCTCGAACATAAGAATTATTTCATTTGTTTTTGTTTTCGGATCTGCTTTGAATCTCCATTAGATATTCCAAATTTGAACGACGAGGCGAGCATTTTAATTTCCTCAATTTTCTGGGTTATTTGGATTTCAACGAGTCGGATAAATTTCCGTGCGGCGGAGTTGTTTCTGGAAGCAAGAAAGATCGAAATGCTCTAACGTTTTTGTGTCGATTTTTTTCTCAATTTTCCTGGTTTTCGTTTGCCAAATCGAAAATTAGGACATAGGTTGTGGTCAATTTTTCGATTTGATGGTTTTTTCTTTTTCCTGCAGGATTTGTTTGTGGGATTTGAGTTGTGCGTTTGAACTTGTAAATGGGATTTGAGAAATTGGGTTGTTTTTGGAATATTGTTATTTTTATTTCTGGTTCTGTAATTTCCAAAATCCGTCCTCATTTGGAAATTGCATTCGTAGCTAAATTTGGCAAAATCGTGTATTCTTCTTTGGGAAGGTTGGATTTTTGACGAGGAAGGTTTTCTGGGTCGGATTCGGTTTGTTGGTATTGCACGTCAATGCTCATCGAATTTTACAGCTGTTGCTCATCGAATTTTACAGCTGTTATACCTTACCTTTTGTTTGGTTGCCGAGAAAATTCAGTAGTATAAAAAGGAACATTTGACTTTCCAAGAAATCGGAACTGTTACTGATTCAACCAAAAGAATTATACTTTGCTGATGCCATTTCCTGTTTCAGATTTTTCTGCATATGTTATGAATGTGAGCAATTTGGCTTTTTTATTACAGTATGCTTTGGTTATGTTGATACATTGATTGATATGTTGTTATGAACGTTTCATGGACAGGCTGAAACGTTTCCACTTCCACTTATTGGGCCGGGGATACTTTGCGCAACTATCATGGTGCGCAAACGGGGCTTTTACCCAGCTTTCACCCAGCTTTCATGGTGGTTGTGGAGTGGAAAGCAAAAAGAGCCTAGAATCCCAAAGGGGTCCTCTTCAAATTCTTCCCCTGACTCGGGCATGCGGGAAACTGATGCGTTAAAGTTTCCTTCGGTGAAGGGGTCAAATATGGCCTCATCATCGTCGAGAAGTGTGAAACGCAAATGGCATAGTCGGGAAGAACGGAAAATTGATAGGGAATATGATGTCGTTCTTGTGCCATCTGAGGGTGGATGTGTTTCCGGTTCTGAGTCCGAGGCCTCGGATTGGTCAGTTGGATGGTTGGAGCCTGTTGGACCTGGGTTCCAGAGAGATGACGATGCAGACGATAGTTTTGCCGTGCTGGTTCCATGCTATGGGCATGTTATTCATGATATGGTGAAGGATTCCAAGAACAATATCTTGAGCACAGTTGGGAACATCCCAGATGGTAAGAGCTTATGTCTTATACGCCTATTTATCTCTTTTTACAAAAAAAAAAAAAAAAAAAAAAGGTGCTTTTGTAGTAATGCTTTCATTTCATGTATCCTGCTTATATGATAGTTGATATGAAAATGTTTAAATTTAACCTCCGGTTTAGAGGTTGAGTGCCTTCAGATTATTGGACCTCTTTAGAAAGGGTCTTGTGGTTCTGTTGATTTGATTTTGCAATTCCAATTCTGGAAACACTCTTAAGAGTTCTCATACGCCAGTTGTTATGCTGGGAAAAAAGGGAAGTGATTCTCATTGAGTATAAGTTGGTTTAATTGTTACTGTCATTGGATCTGATATATGAAATATAACCGAGGATCAGAAGTTGTTATAATCTTGAGTTAATGCTGCAGAATTTAGATGCCTAGATATGTACTTTCAACCTAGTTAGTGATCATCTAATATTGGCGGTTAGGGGCAACAGCATCGGTAAAGGCACTGATGTGCCAGCCATGTGTTTACTGAGATGAGGTAGCATGAATTTTGGTTTAAGGACAGAGTTTGGTCTTGATAGGCCATAAGTTTTAGGAAACTGGCCTTTTTTCTGGACTTGATAACCAATAGATATTGCACAACTTGAGTGCTACATGGTAAACACATATCACATACAATGAGATCTTAAGTCTATATATGATCGTAAAAGTTAATGGCCTGAAATTTAGCTCAATTTTAGCGAAGCTTGACTTCCTCTATTTCTTTCCTCTCATTTTGTCCAGATTTCCATACATATTTTATGTTCACTAAATTTTATCAGTCATTATATCGATGCTGCAGTTCAACTATACATTTTTAGTTGAAATTCAATGGAAATAATAGGAAGCAAGCACTCAGAGACCAACTTTATAAGAAATGGATGCATGGTCTCAAATATTTCCTGAATTTTTTATATATGATATTGTCCAGATTCCATTTTATGTGATTTGGCACCTCTTATATCTTTAGTAGATGTTTTTTGCTGCTGAATATTTATATTTCGGTATTTGGCATTTATTATAGTAGTAATGAAGCTCTATCTTTCGGATTGGAGTTGTTGGGAAGGGAGGTTCAGTTCACTTGGTTGTCACATCCGCTAAGCTAATGAAGACGATACTTTACTTTTATTATGAGTTTGTTTGAGTAGTCCTTGTTCCTTGCATTGACATCTTCAGATCTGAGAGACAAATGTACTTGGTAGATAGAATGGGGGCATGATGAATTCATTGGTATTATCATTGCTCCTATTTGTGGTGTTTACCAGGAACTTATGGGCTTTGTTTTGCTGGTTATTTTCCTCATTGTTCCACTAGAGTCGCATACTTTGTTAATCTTATCATGTCTGTCTATTTCCTGTTTGTTTGCCATAGAGTGTTGTGAAGTGGTGGGTATATATAGATTGGACTACTGTTTGTGGTAATTGTTATTCAGCTTTCTTATTGAGATGCAATTGCGTTCTAGTCATATGCAAAAGAAAAAGATTATCTCACTTGCAAAATGCTTTTCGAAAGTAAACTGAACGTTGAGTGCTGATTTGTTCTCTGCATTTTTCTTCGTTGTGCAGAGAGCACAAAATATATGGAAGAGTGGCTCTCTTCTCTGAGGAACAGCTGATGCAGGATGAAATGGATACGAGCCTAGTTTGATGTAATTATTAGTGGTACGGGACTGGCTAATATAACTTTGATTAGCAGACATGGCGTATGGTTTGGTTTCGTGCTGCTTCTGCCATGGGATTGGCTGGGAATAACGCTGCTGCTACTGTCTTCTCGCATTTCAAAATTAAGTATGGTACTACTCTGTGTATAGCTAAAATCTCGAAAACGAAAAAAAAAAAGAAAAAAGTTTTGGCTTGGGAAACTCTTAAGAAAATGAAGAAAAATGAGAAAAGGGAAAGAAGAGAACAGATGATATGTGGGATATGTGAATTGGTTGCGTTGATTGTGATTGTTGGATGGATATGTGATTGTTTGCGTTGATTATGATTGTTGGATGTAAACATGTGAAAGAATGAGAGGTAGGCAGCTTAATGCTTTACCCTAATATTTGTTTGTAAATAATTTGTTAGAAAGTGTAAATATTATGTGGATAGAAACTAATGACTCTCTCAGAGCTTCTTCCCAATCTTATTGTAATATACGTCATGTTGTAAACAATTTGTGAATAATATTTATAAGAAAAAAACTTGTAAATAATGTGATAGCTCCCTCTCTCTCTCTCTCTCTCTCTCTCTCTCTCTCTCTCTCTCTCTCTCAACAGGTACAAGAATGTGATAGCTCTCTCTCTCTCTCTCTCTCTCTCTCTCTCTCTCTCTCAACAAGGAATATAGATGTGTTAAGTGATGAGTGACATAATCTCATCCAAAAGAAGGGGTTTCAAATTGACACCAACTAGTATCAAAGTTCACTACTCAAAAATGAAACTGACAATGATCAACTAGCTTTTAGTTTAGTGGTACTTTCTCGTTTCAAAATTCCAAGTTTGAATTCTCCATCCCGATGATGAAATAACAATTTCTAATGCAAAATATAAGACTAAAATAGTCATTTCGATTTGGTTTTATGTAGTTTTTAAATAGGTTAATCTGCATCGAACCAAACTAAGATCATACTTTGTGTCAACAGAGAGCACACTGTGTTAACCAATGAATCGTTGGCTAGCACCCATGTGTGCTCGTGACGTGCCTTTTGGTGTCACATTACTTCGTCATTAATTTTTCATAAACTAACTGTTTATATACTAGTAATTAAAGTGTGAAATATTTTTCCTAGAATATTCCATGGCAGTTGCAACGGTAATAAAGCCAGTAACTATAAACTGGTAAACATGAACCTAGAAGACGATGAAACTCTTCCAAAAATAGGTTAAAAACCTAGTTATTACCCAAAAAAAAGGGAACAAGATAGGGACTCCAGCTTGTATTTTCCAACAAAAATTAGGCAAAACAAGAGAAGTACCCAAAACTAAAATATTAAGGGAATTCATGGACTCTCACTCTTTTTCCAGGGGACATTACCAACCTGGCAAGCTCAGGGAACGCCACGTGGACAGCCTCACTTAGGACTTTTGCATTTTTTAGCTTTTCCAACACCTATAACTCAGGCGAAGTATCATCTCCTCCAATGTTTGGTCTTTACCAAGTCATTTGTCAAAGCCGTGTGTGATTACTTCTCTTAATCTTTGATTAATTCCTTCAGTAATTATGAGATCATGGTTGATTAATCATTTTCTGGCTTTTCCCATTATTTCGTGATTTGGGTTTTCCTCTGATGATTGAATCCTGCTTTGTGCTTAGATTTTGTGTTTAATGGGTTTCTTCATGTAATCATCGGTTTTGTTCACAGAGAGAGAGAGAGAGAGAGAGAGGAAGGGGGAGAGAGAGGGAGAATGTTGCATAGAGCAGCAGGCAATGCATATTCATGGTGGTGGGCCAGCCACATCAGGACAAAGCAGACCAAATGGCTTGAACAGAACCTCCAAGGTGTGTGTATGTGTGTGTGTGTGTGTAAATATAAGAGATTTTGATCCATTTGGTCTTCCTTTTAGTTTTGACATTTCTTCCTCACGTTTTCAATTGATATGGAGCAAATGGTGCCTCTGTTCTATGTGTTTTTGTTATTACAAGACGATATATTAAAATACTCTGATTTATGAGGAAGAAGAATCGAACTTGGGATACAAGAGAGCGAGAGCTCATTGCCCTAGCCAACTAGCCTAATTCATCAATTATATAGATTCACGCATCATTAATAATTTGTGATTTGAATTGCAGATATGGAGGAAAAGGTTCATAATACATTGAAAATCATTGATGATGATGGGGACTCCTTTGCAAAGAGGGCAGAAATGTATTACAGGAAGAGGCCGGAGCTAGTTGTCTTTGTCGAAGAATCTTTTCGCGCCTACCGAGCGTTAGCAGAGCGATACGATCACTTGTCAAGAGATATGCAGAGTGCGAACCGCACCATTGCCACAGTTTTTCCGGAGCGAGTTCAGTATGCAATGGAGGACGAGGATGATGAGATTGCTTCTCAAACATCAACTTCTTCGGACGTTCTTAACAAAGTGTCACCGAATGCATCCAAAAACATTCCAAAAGTCCCCAAAGCCCCCAAAGATTTCAGGAGCAAATCCATGTTATCAAGGAAGGGCATGCTTAAGCGAAATACAAGCTCTGCTAAAGCTACCCTAGCTGTTACTTTGAGGTCTGGGCTGACCAAAGATGAGGCGTTGGAAGAAATCGATAAGCTTCAGAAGGATATTTTGGCACTGCAGACAGAAAAAGAGTTTGTGAAGATCTTGTTTGAACGCGGATATGACAGGTACTGGGAGTTTGAAAACCAGATCACTGATATGCAAAAAAGAGTTTGCAACTTGCAAGATGAGTATGGAATTGGCACTGTTATCGAAGACAATGAAGCTCGAACGTTGATGGCTGCCACATCTTTGAAATCATGCAAAGACAGCTTGACAAAGATGCAAGAGAAGAAAGAGAGATCAGAAGAAGACGCGAGAGCTGAGAGCCAAAGGGTTAGAGAAGTCTGCACCAAGTTTGAGAGCCTCAGAAATGAATTCCGTTTGAAACACGCAGATTGGAGCGATACAGATGAGTACGAGTATGAGAACATTGACGTAGAGTCATTGAGTCTAGACCAAGAGAGACATGATGATCAGGACTCATTGCAGTCTAAGGTTCTGGAACAGCTTGATACGAATTCAAATACCTCAATTTCTATGGCAGAACTGGCAGAAAAAATTGATGGACTTGTGAACAAGATTGTGAATCTGGAAACTGCAAGTCACTTCTCAGAATGCTCTAGTAAATAGATTAAAATTAGAAACCGATGAGCTTCAGGCGCACAGCTCGGAACTTGGAAGAGGAAAAGAGACTTTGATGGAAAATGCGGACAAGATGAGCAAACGGCTAAAGGAATTAGAGGAGGAGTTACGAAGAATTAGAAATTTAAACAGAAGTGTGGAAGACCAGAATAAAAACCTCCAAGCACATTTCACAGAAGCTAGCTGTAACCTTGACCATCTGTCTGGAAAACTGAATAGTGTGAAGCACGAAGATGAGGATGAGAATGTTGGCCTGTTCCAGGATGTGAAAGCAGTTGATGCCAAACCCGAAAAAGAGATTGAAGAAGATTCAGAAAAGTCGGTTCTTGATGATGATTCAGTGGTCTTGGAAGACAAAGTGACAGACGGTGAAGTTCAGAAAGAGGATGTTACGATTCTTGAAACTTCTGTCAAGGCAGAAGATGACGAAGAAAAGCAATCAGACCAACCAATGCCTCAGGAACAACAAGAGAGACAAGATTTGGCTGAGGTTGTTGATCCACAAGAGTTGGAATTGGAAAAGGAAGACCAGCCAAACTGGAGACATCTGTTCCTGAAAGGGTTAGAGGATAGAGAAAAGGTTCTTCTGGAGGAGTATACTTCAATTCTCCATGATTACAAGGATGCAAGAAGGAAGCTTAGCGACGTGGAGAAGAAAAACCGGGATAACATCTTCGATTTAGCAATGGAGATTAGGGAATTAAGGGGTGTAGTTGCCTCCAAGGACAAAGAGATTAAACTTTTGAAGCAAAAAGTCAGCTCCCCAGAAACAAATCCGGATGACAGTCCTGCGACAGTATATAAATATCCAACTCGGGAAGGCCCTCTCGAGAGTCCAACCAAAGTTGTTGCATGCCCATACTCAACTGTTGCATCACTAAATTTGGACAAAGAGATGATTTCCAATTACCTTGGTGAACAAGGAACAGAGAAATTTGAGGACTCGTCAGGAAACTCAAAGGTCTCGCCGAGAAAGGAGGAGGAAAGAATAATGAGGAGAAAAACCACTGTTAGACCTCATTCTGTTTCAAGCAATCGAAGGAAGGTTCCGTTCAGACATTGATGAGTTACTGGAAGAGAATTTAGAATTCTGGTTGAGGTTTAGTACCTCGGTTCACCAGATACAAAAATTTCATACTTCGATACAGGATTTACAGTCTGAGCTATTGAAACTAAAGAACAAAAAGAAGCATGATGGACAAGCTCTACAATCGGATGCCAGACCAATATATCGACACCTAAGAGAGATACAAACGGAACTGTCATTATGGTTGGAACACAATGCAGTACTGAAAGATGACTTGCAAGGTAGATTCTTATCCTTGTGCCACATTCAAGACGAGATATCGAGACTCTCTAATTTAGGCTCAGAAGGGGAAAAAATGAAGCTCATAAGCAAATATCAAGCGGCAAAGTTTCAAGGCGAGGTTCTCAACATGAAGCAGGAGAATAATAAGGTTGCAGATGAATTGCAGGCAGGTCTTAGTCGAGTTAAAGGACTTAAGGTTGAGGTCGAGAAGACTCTAGCAAGACTAGATGGGGAACTTGGGATTTCAGGTATCAAAAAGCATTAATAATCCCCAATGCTCAACGAGCAAGGCTCGTATTCCTTGCGGTCTTTCTTGTTCGGGATTAAGCTGAGAAGGAAAAAGCAATCAATCTTCTCATGTGTTAGCCCGGCATTACAGAAACAACACACTGATCTTGCAGCAGCTACACCGCCACTAGAACAACCTATGTAGATGATTTTAGTTTTAATGTCATCAAGAATCATTGTACACAGGAACCAGAGAGAGTTTAAGGCTGTTGTGTTAGTTTGTTGTTACATTATGTTGTATGATACTTATTCAGGATCTTCTTTTGTTTGCTCAAACTTCGTTGGTAAACTTAATCTTCCATAAAAATTGAAATGTTTACTCGATCTTGTCCGATTATAGTGATAAAAGTTAGAAAACTAGTAATAACAAAATAGACACAGTTTGCATGCATGTACATTGTGAAAATTCAGACTACAAAGCCCTAGACTTTAAAAAAAATGGTAAAAATGGGTTGGCAGTGCGTTTTTCTATGTAATACAGGGTTGGCCCTGAGGAGAGATTCTTCAATGTGATCGGCACACGAGGTGGTACATCACGTATTACTATATAAATAGTGGAATATGTGTGTTAAAAAATTAATAACTTAAAAAATAAAATTTCCCACTACTTACATAAAAACACGTGGTGTACTACTCGTGTTTCCGTCCACAATAAAAAATTTCTCGGCCTGTAAGGAGTGTCAGATGAGGCGGTCGCCTAGTGCCCACATCGAGGGAACCATAAAATTTGTTTATGTTTACATGGTTATGTGAGAGTAAATATTTTTGAAGCCACCTAATAGCTAATGAGTTTCAGGTATTTTTCTTCAATACTATTTAGTATTGAATGATACGAGAAATGAATAACAAACATCGATTTTCAAAAGAAAAAAAATAAATGGCAACGTGGTAGTGTACATACAAAACATCTTTTTAAAACTAAATTAAACAACAATTTCTACTCACATTAACGAATAGTACAATACAGACGCTACCACATTTACAACATTTTCCTTCCATATTTCATTTTTCCTTTTCACTTTTCGGGGCTGCATGACAAAGTTATTTCTGAAAAGAACCAATTCATTTCTTTCAAAAACAACCATTTCAAGATATGATCGACTGCCCTATTAGCCTATCGCCACAACTATGTAATGTTCTAATGTGCTATTTGTCAAACCTCTCAAGATGTAAGGTCAAAATGAAAATATTACTCACTAGAGATTTTGATAGAAGACCACAAATGGGATCACCATTCTAATAACGAAGTAGACCGTTATAGGCACATAGTTCCATCTGTGTTTAGTTTCGTCCATGACGCTTCTGCGAGAGCTCAACCTAAAATTAATTAATGCTTCTGGAGACATGGGTCCAAATCTTCAATACGCATCTGTGTGAGGGCTTTGCCTGGAATGAATGCTTGCTAAATCTGCACACATCAGAATCCAAGCTCCATTGTTGGTCACTAGGCGGTTTGCCTGCTATAGCTCCATTGTCGTTCTTCCCTTGACTTTGGCGGCCCAAAATCAAAGTAGCGAATGAGGTTAGTCTGAGTAAGGAGTCGGTTGAGCATCCTAGTTAGCTGAGTGCCGAAGTTAAATCTGCAAACATGAACAGCAAGATCTTCAGATGGATGGGCCCTACAGGATTTTCCAAATTAGAGCCTTATTGAACTCGTTTGTTTGGCCCAAGGGGAGACACGAGCTCTTCCATGGGAGGTTGCACAAGTTGGTCGGGGCACATTGGAGTTAGGATTTCCAATTCGATGGGTCTGGGCCGAGAAGTCTGCGCGGGTTAGTAGGGATTTGTCGAACTGGTGTTGTCTCTTGACAGACTGCTGATACAATCCTATCGTCGATTCGGCAGGTGGATGCCGAGTGTTGCACTCGAGTATGGCAAGGTCCTGTCGAATTGAGTGCGGCTCTTCAATGCGCGTGCACCGTGGCTACAATTATACTGTTGTCGTAATTTAGAGTTGTGATGGCAATGGCTCAAATCCCCATATGTAGGGGCGGTGGCGGCGCAAAGTAGGGATATCATGAGCCCAAATGACACCTTGATATAAACCTGGGGTCGAGGACCCAAATGGCAGATTTGTATTGTGTGCGCCTAGTTCTCATTGTTCTCGTAGTTCTTGTAGTAACCGTGTAAGGATTTATCTCATTGTACTTTCATGAATTTCTCTTTAGATAAAAAAATTCGTCATTGATAGGCTGATAATATGTACCAATATGACATCTTTGTATTTGTTTGGTTCTTGTTAATGAAATCTTTCTATTTTTGCTTGAAAAAAAAAATGTATTTGTTTAGTATGTTTTTTCCAAAGTATTTTTCGAGAATAAAACATTTAAATAGATTTGTATGTGACATTAAGAAAATCTAAAAAAGAAAATTCAAATATTTAAATGGTATCGTGTGTGGTCTATATTTTGTATATTTGATTAACTTAAATGTAAAATTTGATCACACAGTTAGACAAAGATGACGTTTTATTGTAGTGACGGAAAACAATAATGTTTACATATCTTGGTGGGGATTCAATTCCCATTGATTTCCTTCCACCTAACATTTAATTATATAACCAACTAACTATATCATTTATATAAAAAAGATCACACACTTAGACAAAGGATTATGGACTACTAGAATGACTTGATGTGAGCTAGAATGCTAAGGAGACCAAATTTTTAAACCACATAATGTGTCACCAATAGGAAATGAGCACATTAATCAACATTTAAGTAATAATCAAATCATTAACAACCACATCATTTGGTACAAAATTTGGTTTACAATTTAATCTAAAAATTTGGTTTCTCTAGTATTACCCGTTTGTTAATATGAAGCATTCCTGAGAGATACAAACCATAAATGTAAGAGTTCACAGCATACCGTGTTATTGTTAGACTTCACGTGTACTTTTTTTTTTTTTACACTAAAATGTTTTACATTTAAAGAGTGGAATTTTGGTCAAGTCGCCCAATGAGTTATTTCAAAAGCAAAATAGATAGGAATAGTTTACAACAACCATGCAGGAACAAAGTTCAGAAGCAAAGCTTCTCACCTCGATTATTCTTGATGGTGTGCCTCTACTTCATCCTTAAGATTTGTAGCTTCCTCAGCCATCCTACGAAGCAAAAATGAGAAAGATGACCTTCATCATTTGATTGTTTGGGAAATTTTGTCTCGCGAGAACTCCTAAGCAGAATCCTTCAAATAAATTCGAACAAGCATGAAGAATTAGAATAAAACACAACAATTACAACAATCAGTCATGCATGCCATATCATGCATGGAACACTTAGTACACCTTAAGTGTGACAACCCGTTCCAAATTTTACGTTTTTATTTTATTTTAAAAACGTGAATTTACGAAATTGCCCTACAGGCAAGGACTTTGACTTCCGTTGACCATCGACTTGAAAGATGTGGGACTTATTCTTTTAGCATATCCTCGTAGTACTCATTGGTACAAACGTATAGGCGAAAGCCGTTTGCGAGTCCGGATTATAACGGTATAGTTACGGACGTTCGAAATTGGTTATTCAAGGTGAGTGTTTATTTAAATTAATGGAAGCCCAATCAGAAAGAAAGAAGAAAAGAAAAAAAAAAAAAAAAAAAAAAAAAAAAAAAAGAGAAAAAGGCTTCCCGTGCACCCATACCCGCACCACCGCGAGACCATATTCCAAGGCCGATTCCGGCCAACTCCGGTGGAGTTTTTCGATGCCACCACCACCATTTTGAAGCTCTCATTCCCCTCTACAAAACCCACCCAAGAACCACCTTGATTGACCACGGGATGTAGAGGTTTGAGGCCACGAAAGTTGACGAAAATCAATGGTGCTCCGGCCACCCTTCTCCATTTTCCGGCAAATCGGCAAAGCGATGGCCGATGCCACCACTTGGGCTTTGTAGCCCATCATCCCAGGAGCAAAACCCAACCAACCTTGACCCCGTTGGACCACCGTAGACGACGAATCGACGTCGGGAAGTTTTAGGCACCCGCCGGCTTCGTGGGCAAAATTGACCATCTTCCGTCCACTTTTGGACTTCGTGGCAGGTATGAAAGTTGCTCCACTCACTGAGATCTTCATTTCTGTGAAGTTTGATAGTTTTTGGAATTAGTTGGATTTTCCGGCGAGTCGGGGCGGCCGACCGCCACCCGCGGCGGCGCGTGCGGCGGCGCGTGGCCAGTGGGCCGCCAATGCTATTTTTAGGCTATGTCAAATGTCTTGAATTCAGTTTTGTCATTTGAATGACGTAGGTTGATCGTTGGAACCTAAATTCGTTACAATACGTTACTTGATAAAATGTGAATCGATGATCCGACCGTTGGATCGTCACCAAAATTGGATACATTATAATACGTAATATTTAAAGATCATAGGAATTTACGGATCGGGAATCCGACTTACGGATCTTCCTGAATTGGATTTGTAAGTTAGTAAAATAAATGTTCACGGCCACTTGTTTTAGGCAATTGGCGGAGATCTGACCGTTGGATCGTAATGAAATTTTAATATGTTATTCTAGAAACATATTGTGGATCGTTGGAAGTTGCGGATTGGAAATCTGATGTGCGGATCTTCCGGGTCAGGTTATACAGGGTTGTAAACCCTACCGTCGATCTTTGATCGACGGTTGACTTGTGGTCAATGGGTCTCAAGTTATTTTAGAATGTCGTTGAGGTTGTGTTTTATGTGAATTACATATTCTACGGATAAGAGTTCTGAGATGTGATTTGATAATTGGTCACAGGGACCAATCATTCAGGACGCCTCGATGCGTGCGCTAGAGAATCATAGCGTGAACTCCAGGTGAGTGGATCTTTTCCTTTTTATTGTGCATATTATTGAGAGTTCAATCGACACTTTTAAATTGATTAGGTATATTACCTTTATATAATTATTGTGAATGCTTAAAGTACCTATATGAACTACGAATGGCTTGATCCCTATTTAGGGTACGTAGGCAGTCTAACGAGACGTTAGATGCAGCCATAAAATATTTGAGACAAAAGCCTTGCTTGGGAAATTGAGTAATGCGAAGGAAATTGGTAAAGACAAGTTTTAGTTATTGTGAATTAGTTAGTTAAATTAGATTTAATTGGGTTGTCATGAATAATTATCCTTGAAAATAAGTAGTTTGGGAGTAGGGCGTTATTGATTGTACACTTCACCCTATATTGTTTATAATTGAAAATGCTACGGCATGGTTGA